TAATCAGTCAGGAGGGGGTGGCCATGGACGAGAGGAAGGTTACGGCAGTGGCGAACTGGCCAGTGCCCCACACGGTGAAGGAACTGCAACGATTCCTGGGGTTCGCGAATTTCTACCGAAGATTCATCCGAAACTTCAGCACAGTGGCTGCTCCCCTAACCACCCTGACCAAACGCCACACGCACCGCATCAACTGGTCCCAGGAGGCACAACACGCCTTCGACGAGCTACGGTCACGGTTCACCTCAGCACCCCTCCTGCGACACCCCAACCCCGAGCTCCAATTCATAGTGGAGGTCGACGCCTCCAACACCGGAGTAGGGGCCATTCTCTCCCAGCGTCAAGGCACACCCGCCAGGATGTTCCCATGCGCCTACTTCTCTCGCAAACTAACCCCAGCCGAACGTAACTACGATGTGGGCAATCGTGAGTTACTGGCCATGAAACTGGCACTCGAGGAGTGGCGGCACTGGTTGGAGGGAGCGAACCAGCCATTCATCATTCTAACCGATCACAAGAATCTCGAATACCTTCGCTCCGCTAAACGTTTGGAACCCCGGCAAGCCAGATGGGCCCTCTTCTTCACGAGATTCCAGTTCACGGTAACCTATCGACCAGGCTCCAAGAATACGAAGGCCGACGCCCTCTCTCGCCAGACCGAGGGAGTTCCACCCACTGCAAGGGATAACATTATCCCGGAAAGCTTGCTCGTGGCGCCGGTTCAATGGGACATCATCACGGAGATCGAGCAGCTGAACCTTCGTCAAGCACCTCCCTCCGAATGTCCCGCAAATCTCCTCTTTGTCCCCGAGACGCTACGTTCACGACTCCTCGATCAGGTGCACTCGACCCCAAGCTCCGGACACCCCGGTATCACCGCCACAATTCAGCTCCTCAAGAACCGCTTCTGGTGGCCCACTCTGACTCCTGACACCACCCGACACGTGCAGAACTGCGCAAACTGCGCCACCTCCAAAACCCCCAGACAATTACCTGCCGGCCTACTAACACCACTACCCATACCCCAACGACCCTGGTCCCACATTGCCATAGACTTCATCACCGACCTACCCGCATCGCAGGGACATACCACCATCCTCACCATCGTAGACCGATTCTCCAAGGCCTGCCGACTCGTCCCACTACCCAAACTTCCCACAGCACTAGCCACTGCGGAACTGCTCTGCAACCAGGTCTTCCGTTTCTACGGACTACCGGAGGACATAGTGTCAGACCGGGGACCCCAATTCACCTCCAGAGTATGGTCCGCCTTCCTTTCAAACGCCTCCACGTTAAAG